CGTTGAAATTGACATAAGAAGCTTCGACTGTTACTAGGGAGCCTTGTTAAGCAATTAATTAGTGTTTTAACCGAGTCTGATAAATAAGAGGAATTATGTACAAGTATATAAACCATAGAAGTGACTGCTCAGGGCGTTGTTTTATTTATTAGAGTACATTACACTAGTGAAGGGAAGGCCTTAATAATGAATCATGATGGTATGACGGAACATTACCCGTAGAGTATAGAATATGAGTTAATATAACAACACAAGTATGAGTATGAGACCGAAATATAAAAGTATTCGTATGAGTTGAAAAGTCGTCTTGCGTAGAGCCGGCGTCGGTCAGAGCCCCCGATGCCAATCGTTTTAACAAAAACTTTTATTATTCTTATTGTTATTTCTATTTTTATGCTATAAATAATGTGTAGCAAAGAAGCATTTATGGAATAAAGTATAAGAGCTTAAGGCGCTCGAAAGATGGTGGAGATAATATAAACTGTTCTTGTTCTTGCACAAAGGCAATCGCGTCATTTGTCTTGGACAATTGCCGCTATTAGATATCTGATAGCAAAGAAAGATCTAAAGCTGCTTTAAAGAGACTTCACTAAGGAAAACTCTTTAGCTTTATATATTCTATTCTGTTTTGTGCTATTTTAACATCCTCCATCTATAGTCGCTGGAAAATTTATAAATTTTACTAAAGAAAACAGTTTACTTGGTTATTACGCTCTTTAAATTATTTATTCAACGATCCTTTGTCATGAAAATCATCAAAAAGATTATGAATCTAATTGCTAAAAAAAATCACAAATTTTATCTTGAGATTTTTTATACAAACAATTTTTTATTTTTTACAAAAAAAATTTAAAACTCCTTAATGGAAAATTTCCTTAAAAAATCCTAATCCATCAAAAAGGATTCTCTTTGATGGATTTGGCACTCAAAAACACTTCTAACAACTCCTAATCATATTTCCCTTACAACAGCAGTTCTCTAAATAAGCCCTTTCAAGCTTATTAGCAGCAAAATATCCTTAAAATTTTAAATTGCATCAGACTAATTACCAACAATAGTTTCTTCTTCTTTTCCTCCATTATATTACTGCTAGTTCGAACAGAAGCAGAAGCAATTAACCACTCAGCGCTTTCTCGGGCGGTAATTAAACGACTAAACAGATTAATTAATAACAATTACATTAGCACCAGCCAAGTGTCTATCAATCTAAGAAAAGTTTCATGTACTTTTGTAAAAATAACTAATGATACCATTAAACTCCGTCAACTTACAAAAGCTTATATTATTTCATAAATTATTTACGACTATAGTTATAAGTCTAACTATGTAACTATACCTAAAACTATAGCCATAAATACTCTGCTAATACTAAATGCATGAAAAGTTGCGCTTACATGAAAACTTTTTATCCAACTTTTATTGTGAATTTTTTTCTGTAATCCGCGACAAAGACATAAGACATATTTCTACCTGATTTAGCTGTTGAACAACTTTTACAAAACGGTTAACATATTTTATTAATAAAATAAGTATTCGAGAAGACCAATGTTTATCGGGTGGTTCGTAACACAACATAAATGGTAAAGAAAAAAAGGGATAGGATCCATTTGCTTGCGTGCCCACGCACACACACACACACACACACACACACACACACACACACACACACACATACACACACGGCCTATCGAAAGCACCCGCACGTCCGTTGCACGTGTTCACGTGCGTGTTTCTCGTCAGCTTTCTTTCCACCAGCAAGGGTATACCCATACACTAAACTTTTAGTTTTTTTTTCTTTCTCTTTTTATTTTTTATGGCATTCTCATTCCTCAGTTGTAAGTTCCAGTCCTTAGCGGTAGGTTGGACCTTACTCCATACATTACATTAGCTTGACTCGACTCGTTGTCGCACATAATCCGGCTATGTGACTTGGAAACAAAGTAAATTCCCCGTAGCCTTGCTATTCTTATTGCAAACAAAGTAAATTGTTGCTTTAACCGTAAGTCCTCATAAATAATCATGAAATTTCTGGTAAACTTTTCGCTTTTATTAGAATTAGTCGGATGTTGGCAGTCTCAGTGGAGGGGGAAGCGTAAGCGTTCGAGTGGCGGTACAGTAGGAAACTCTTGCGCGTTGACATGTTAACCGCCATCTTGTCGTCGATTTTCCAGAAGAGCTAATTTATTGTTTTTTGATTAGTTTCAAAGGTTTTGACGAGAATTTTGTTTTTAACTATATCATCGTGAGACGGTTCTTGGTTTAAATAAAAATTTATTACGACCGACAGCTGCTGGTTCACGAGGATGAGTCAGTGACTCGCCAACTGGTACAGCTCAAGCAATATAATGTGATGTAAAGGAAATGCTCGCGATTGAGATGAAGTGGTTACGTCAGCCTCAACAATCGTACCAATTCAATCTTACGTCTCGCGTCTCATCTCTCTGATGGCCATATTACCCTCTGTTGCTATCCGAGTGTCCCTCTGTTTGTTGGAAGCCTCGCTCGTCAACGGCCCTTGACAACAAGATGAATTATTAGTTTTGCCGACTACAAATAGAATCAAAACTTGGTGAAAAATTTTTATGCTTTTATCCACACCTGGATGTTTTATATATATTTTTCTTTTTTATATAAAAAATATTATAAATGCTGGCACAAAGGGCCCGCATTTCATCCTGCGGGATCATTGTACGGAATTAATCCAACTTTCAAATATTTTAACCTCAACAATGAAACGGGGAGAATAAGCCGGAAGAATAGCAAACTTTGTGTCTTACAAGTTCTCAAGCTACCCAACAAAGAAATTCATTTAAGACATTTGAATTGTGTTTTTAATAAAATAATATATTAATATTTTGTATCAATCGATGTTTAAAATTTTTTTTTTTATTAAATAAAAAATTTCAAATTTTTTAAAATTATTTTTACACTGATAGAAGGATTTATTAACTATTAATAATTTAATTTTATTGAGGACAATTATTTAATTTATTAAATTTTAATAAATATTTTTTAACATTGAATAAATATTTATTTGGGAGGAAAGTACATTTATTAATAGTTAATAAAGAGTTATTAACAGTTAAGAAATATTTTGTTGAGTGAATTTGTTTTGCTTGCAATGTCATATGATATCAAGATTGCTTAGAAACAAAAATCATCTTTATAAATTATTTGCATTGATTATATTACATTATATAATAACGTTTATTGTAAAATACCAAATTTTATCACAGCTCATAATTATTTTTTATATTTTTTATATTTAAAAACATTAATTTAATTATTATACATAGTTAAAAAACTTAGAAAAACTATGAGTGCAATTTTTTAGAAATATATTTTTAGTTGTAATTTAATTAATAAAAAAAAATTAAAAATTTTTAGACGTCTGCTAACTTCAGTGTCATTTTATTAACAGTTAATAAAGCTTATTAAATATAAACAAATCTTTCTATGAGTGTAGCTTTAAAAAGTTTTAATTATAAAAAAAAAAATTTTTTCAATACTTCATTAAATTAAAAAAATAAGATACAGTTTATCCTTGACATTTCAAAAATAAATCCCAGCAATAAAATCATACTGCAGAGATGAAAAATCTGGGGGATAACAAAAAAAAACCTTGAAAAATAATAAAGCTTGATTTTTATAAGAAAATATAATGCGACTTAGCTGGATACCAAAAGATTCTAGCCAACACAAAATACGAGTTTTTCATTGTATTTATTATTTTTTTTTTGCTTAACTCCGCGGGGAAGTAAAGTTGACTCAAGTTAAAATCTTGGTGCTTTTTTTTTATAATATATATTTTATTGGATTTAATGCAAGACAACTAAACACATACAAAGCGAACAAAGAAGTGCAAGTAAAGTACTCTCTCACGAGTGCGTAATCGTGTACAAGAACTTGAACGAGTTCACCGGAACGTGCAAAAAATAAAAGTCCCCATTACATGTCCAACGTTTATAAAATATAAATGCAATAAATAGTTGCTAAAATTTTCTAGGCTCATAATTGAACTTTCGATTTTGGATTTTTCTACTTCCAACAATTGTTTGGAATAATTTTTACAGCGAGCCCATTGTAGTTTTACGGTAGTGAGCACGCTAACGAGCCCGGGGATGTTTTGTTTAGTTTAAAATTAAAACAATTCACTGTAATTAGGTGATTTAGATTTTTAAATCGGGCAGTAATACACCGCGACTCGAGATTCGAGATGCGAAGGGAGTTGACCTGCTGCATCATACATACAACATATACCGTATAGCATGTATGTATAGTTAACCGTCTTCACAAGTGTTTACACCTCTCTCTTTGACGTAGGGTGGGGAGACTCACGAAGGATGTGATAGCTGTGTGTGAGAGAACACATGAGCTGGTTTTACAGTGGGGTCGAGACCAGACAAGGTCACGGCTACCAAGCTCCAGACTGCTGTAGCTGCCTCGTATTCGTATTCGGTTTTGTTCAATCCAGTATTTATTTATTTGTAAATTTATTTTTTATTCATTTTATTGGGCTTGTTAATTATTGATAGTGAGTAATTTTATTGTGTTATTGCCAATCAATGGTCCTTGGTGGTAATTTTTTTTGGAAATTGATTTAATCAATAGTCCTTGATAAAAATTTTTATTGATGATGTGAAAATATTAGTTTTATCAATTGGCCTTGATGAGAATTTTTAATAAAAAATTTAGTCATTTATTTTTATTTAATAATTTGGAAATAAAATTTTTGTTAAATAATTAAAAGTCAAAATTTGAATCATAATTTTTTTTTTTTGAAAATTTGAAAGTAAAATTTTTTTCAATTATCTTAGATAAGAATTTTTAGTAAATATTTGAGTCAAAATTTGAGAAAAAAATATTTATTTATTAATGAGAAAAAAAAAAAGTACGTAGAAAAAAAAATACACGAAGGAAGAAAAGTTTCGCGCATGCGCGAAACTTACTTGACGGTCACCGTCAAGCAAAAACGCCAGTCACCAGTAAGGACTTGGTGGTTACCGCCAAGTAAGCAGCTCGGGAATCGCGATGCGCCGTAAAGGTGCACGCGAACCAAAGACCGCGTCAAGGAAAGTCGGAGCTCGCGGGCCAGGCGACTCGGAAGCCGCGATGCGCCGCGAATATGCGCGCCAGTCAAAGTACAGTGGAAGGGGTATAGGAGCTCCCGGACCAATGGCAAAGCTTATTTTGTCCCCACCGTCAGCCGAAAGAGTTATATAAACCGGAGTCGCGGAGCCCCGGAGCACTCTTCCTCGAGCTAGCAGCTGAGTAACAAGGAACTCGAAAGCAAGCTCTGGGAAACTAAAAACGTAAGAAAACTTAGTGCTCAAGAAAGAAGAATTCGATTTCGACATATCTGGATAGTCGAAATCTCCGTCCAGTCAAGGATACCAGTAAGACCCGGAATACCGTGGATGTAAATCCAACTACAGCCCGACCAGTCAAGGACACCAGTAAAACCCGGAATACCGTTAAGATCTATAGGACAACCCAATATTGGAAATTTATTTTACAATCATATTATTTTATTATTTGTATATATTTAATTAATAAATCACATTTATTAATTTTCAATTGGAAATATCTGAGGGTTTAATTTTAAAGAAACCTACCACCGTGAATCCTGGCACCCGATGAGCTCATCCCGGATTAAATATAAATATTATTATGTTGATCGTTAGTTTTGTTTAGAAATATCAAAATAAACGTTACAAAATTTACATAATTAATTTTTTTTTTGATATTTTAAAATTAAAATTTTAATTAGTTGTTTTTGATGAAAATTTTTAATAAAAAATTGAGTAAAAATTTGAATCATTTATTTTTTTTTTTTGGTAATTTGTAAATAAAAAAATTGAGAGTCCAAATTTAAGGTCAAAATTTTGATAAAGTTAATAATTTTGAATGGATAAATTGTAAAAAAAAATCTTAGACAAATAGATAGCCAATAACAAACTTTAATAAATAAAGTAAGAATTTAAAAATCCATATAATAAACACCGAAGATAAAACAACCGAAAAAGCGAATAAATATAACCAAGTTCTTTGTTACAATTCCCCAAAAGCATCCTCTAAGTCTCTCAAGTTTCATTGCGGCGTCTTATCAACCAACAAAAACGGGAGAATCAAGATCCCTTAGCTTTCATTTCTGTTTATTATCCCGGAGCTCGTCCTATCTGCTATCTACTATCTTCTGTCTTTCATCCCTATCCCTTATCTTGAGAACAGGAATAAACGTCAAGGTTTACGATAGCGGCCATTCCATTTCGCCGCCATCTTCTCAAACTGCCAGTAGAGCGCCGCAGCATGTCCATGTCGGCCATTCCGTTGTCTATTCAGTCCGTACAATGGCGCGTAATGTAGCGAAGCGTATATTGGTCTCCCAAAGGCAATAACTAACTTTACTGTCAAATGAAATGAAAATCCGGAACAAAAATAACTAAACTAAACTGAAGAACAAAACTAAAAATTAATAATAATATAATATAATAAAATAACATACTGATGGCAACTTTCTATCCACTAGTTGTACTTATATCAGGGAAGTGATAAAATTTGTCGTCTTTCGTAGCTCGTGGTTATTTTATGATATTATTTATGCCTCTCACACACTCTAATTCATACGTATACACATGTAATTCATGTATATTTTATTTATAAGATAGACGAAACAAACGTCGACATGATATACGTCGGCTATCGATGGTCTCTCTCTTGTCGGTTCAGTATATAAGTATAAAACCACTCTAAGAAATAGAATAACTTTGACAAAATAAAATACCATGCATTTTATTTCTCTCATCTGAATTAATAAATATTAAATTGTCAAAAATTTTCTTTTCCACACAAAAAAAAATTACCTTGAATTTTTGAAATATGAAATTCTTCAAAATTATTTATTTGATTCAAGTTAATTTTTTTTTTCGTGCATAAAAAAAATTTTTAAGCTGCAACTCGATAAAAATTTACGTACAAAGTGGAAGGATTTTTGCATTAAAATCGTTGTTTCCTCGAGAGGAGGGTGCAATCCTGGTTATACTATTCTTTAGGGCGGGCGCTGAGACAATGGTGATTGTCTCAAAACGTTTACAGCCTAATTATGTGAACACGGTCCAGGCATGGTGGAGTAACAATGCCATAACAAAGTAACAATGTACGATTGTTCATTGTCCCATTGCGACTTTGTTTTTTCCCTCTTTCCTCTTATTTATTTATTTATTTATTTTTTTTTTTTTTTTTTTTTAATTGTTCAATCACTAATTCCGACAATTTTTTTGTCAACACTTTTCACTTTGAATAATATTTTCAACTTGTTATTAATTATTTTTTGAAAATATAAATTACAGTTTTTTTTACAATTAAACCATGACATCAATATATTAAAAGAGCAAAAATAATTTATCGTGTTGTGAAATAAATGCAATCTCAATGTTCGCAATTGACAATAAAACGCAAAATATATAAGTTGAGCGCAAATATTTAAAGCAAACCGTATAAATAAAATAAAGATAAAAATAGTTAAATCGTAAACGATCTGAATGATGAAATTGAGAATCGAGAATTGAGGCAAGAAGATTTTCTCAAGGACCAGCTAGCCATCGAAGGAAAAACGAAAGGCGTCTCGTTACTTTTTTACTTTATATTTCTTCTATTCATTTTATTTAATAGTTTTTTATTTTAGCATACACTTTTATTTATGTTATTAATGTATGTGTTTATATTCAACTCACGCACGTGTCTCCAAGCTAACAGGGGTTCATATATATCTATATTTTATTTTATAGGTCTATACATGTTAATGTTATTATATGTGCCGTGTATGTAGTAAACCGGCATAGAACCTTCATAACATAATGTAACATTCACGCGTAGGTTTTATCGTCATGGGACATGACAGGTTTCGCATTGCCTTTTGCCTTTACTTTGTCCTTGCAAATCTCACTACTCACGACTCCTGGTCTCCACTCTACGACGACACTACTATTGTCACTACTTTATATTTATTTTTTTATTTACATTAATATGTGGATTTTATAACTTATTACCTCTATGCTGGATCGCTTACTTTGTTTACCGATTCAACCTCCACTGTGGCACCATTTCAATGCTTATTTCGTATGTCACCGATTGTTATTATACCTATTATAATAATAGTAATAATAATAGCAGTAATAAATTTAAAAGCCGATGTATAAGACGGTGAAAATTTGATTATTTTCAAAATTTTTGCTCAAAAGTTGAAGCTACGGTAAAATTGATAAGGACTTTTATTGTAGAGAATTTATTCCTCTATAAGAAAGGTATCTTATATTTTTTTTATTTTTAAAATTTTAGCCATAAACAATACTTTAAACTTTTGAACACTATGGATAAATACTGTGATTTAGTTTTTTGATTTTAAATTCAAATTTTCGGCAGCCCAATTTCAAAACACAGTAACTGACAATTTTAAGATTTAAAAAAATTTTTCTTATTAAAAAAAAGTTTGCGCGCCTAATTGATAAAAAATTTTATTTATGAATAGAAAATATTTGCATATAAATATTATCAAGAAAAAATACTTGATATTAAGGTCTAAAAGTTATAAGAAATGCAGCAATATTTAAAGAAAAGAAGAGACAAAGGGCAAAATTGGTAAGAATTTTTTTTTGTAGAAAATTAAATTATCTATAAAAAAAGGTCTGATATGATTTTTTCGTATTTTCAATATTTGATCCAGAATTTTGAATCGAAACATCAAAATTCAAAAATTTAATAAAGTAATTTTTTATTTATTAATAATATTAAAAAAAATTCTGATTATTATTGTTATTTACTTATCCAAGGCTATTTATTTCAATAACTTTTTTTACAACAATTTCGTAATTAATGTCTAAAAAAAATTATCAACGACCAATTGAGCAACAAAAATTTAGATCGCACATTTAAAGTTCAAGGTTTATTTTCTTAATTTTAGATCTTTAATAATTATTAAAAAAAAATTTGTGCAAAAATTTAATTTTCTGAAATTTAAACCAAAAAAATCTCGTCTTGTTTGTTTTTTTTTTTTTATCAAATAAGAAACTCAATTAAATAAAGAGCATTTAACGCTCAAGCAAAGTGGTAATAAGGACAATGAAAAATAAAATAAAATATAGTTTTTATTTGAACTGTGCAATCTCTTCATTGGCTTGGTCCAGAGTTCGTGAGCGAGCAAAGTGCTGGAGCGTAACACGAGGAAAGTCGAGGTCTGAGTTAGATATCTTAAATAACTTAACAAATATTTTTTTTCCGACTTACACAGCACTGCTGAGTTTATCAAAGCTGTTATCGGAAAAATCGAATCGACCAGTCTGATAATTATTTAATTCAATTTTACAATTCCATTATCAACTGCGATGCTCCTATTTCTCCTTCTACTCTTATTTCTTTTCTACTGTAGTCTGTTGATTGAAATTTAATTGCCGTAGGTGCACGGTACGTATGTATGTATCGTTTGAAAGTTTCCTCTAACACAATATAACAGCGACACTTTTTTAAAAGTTCCGTTGGATAATCACTCGATTATCGAAATAACACTTTTATTTTAGACTCAAAACTTTCACAGTCATATTTATCTCTATTACGCGGTAAAAGGTTAAAATTAACAAAAAAAATTAGTTTTAGAAATTTTTATAAAAAGCAAATTTATGTAATTACTTTTTTGGTGTTTGAAAAAAAATTCTTAGTTTTAGAGAATTATTATTTTTTACTCTAAATATTTTCAAATTTTTATTAATTTAATTACAATAATTTAAATCTAAAGCTCGGTATTTTTTTAGCCTTCAAAATTTTGAAAATGAATTTTTTTTCAATTGTTCAATTTTATTTTTTTAAATAATTTAAATAAAAAATTGATACCGAGAAAACTTTTAAGAAAAACTGAAAAAAATAATTTTTTGAAATTTTCAATTTTTATTAAATTTTTGGTCTTATTAATATTTTAATAAAATTAACAATTATTTTTAAAGAAAACTTTACTGCTTTTTAATTAAAAAAAAAAAAATCTTTCTATAAAAAATTATATTTGTCATAACCACCGGAAATTTAATCATCCAATAATCTAATAATGAAAAGTGTCTAAAAATATTCTTCTTAATTACTGCTTATTTCTGTCAAAAAATCAAAACCTCTCACTGATAATACTTCCATCTGATTAAAGCTCTCTACAATCAAAATATCACCCTGACAAATAATTCTGACATTTACAAATTTACTCGAATGTGTCATAAATCCTTAAAATAAAAATAATCAAATCCACCTTTCCAATTCCATGACTTATTCAAACAAACCACTTTACTGCAAATGAGTGGCACAGTAGACCATCTTCTGCTAAAATGATCCTCGAAATATCAATAAATTCACAAATATCCCATGAGAAAAGGTCAAAAAAATTATCTCCCAATTTAGTATTTAATCCAGGATGGCTTTCGTCACATAATTGCCCAACGAAAAGAATAATCGGCAATCATTCGATCATTACTTTGTTTGAAAGGTCTAATTCTTCGTCACATCGAAGTACTGCTTATGCTTATACCACTATGACAACCTCTCACTTTTTCTCCGAGTAAAGGTAAATAAATAGACCTACCATCGCATATCTTCTTTCACAGTCAAACTGTTCA